GTAAAAGAGGAGAAGGAAGAAAAGCAGAAGAAGGAGGACAAAAATTAGAAGACGTAGTAGGAGGTGAAGGAGAACAAGAAGGCGGAAAAGAAAAAGAAGTACAACAAGAAAGAGAGGTAAAGTAGAAGGAGGAGGAGGAAAAGACAAACGGTGAAAAGTAGAAGAATACCAACCAAAAGAAGGAAGGAGGAGGTGGAGATGAAGGAAGAGGAAGAAGGGGTAGACAAGAAGTTGGAGTTGAACGAGGAGGAAAATAAGGAAAAAGAAATGGAAAAGAAGAATGTGTTTGAGCGAATTTCGCTTTTACAGCAGGCCCAAAATATATAAAGAAATATATGCATTTCGCCAGGGAATTGAAAACAATAAGGAGAATATGAAGGCGACAGTTACAATAATCGTTGCTGAAGTGCGAGAACAACATCGAAATTCCGAGCGAAATGTCCGGAGCAACGGTAAATCTGATGAAGAGTTACTACTTGAATGTGCTTGAATATTTAGAAAACTTAACGTCACTCAAGCATAATGTATAGAATCTCCTTTTAATGTTTTGAAACATGAATATATGCAACAATAATAATGGCATTTTGCTTAATAGTTTAAGCATCTTTGTCATAAATAGTTTGGATTTTTCATTGTTTAACAGCATATCAACATCTTTTATTCTCTTGTAGGCTTTCGTAATTTTCCCCAATAATATATTGCAGGCAATTTTCTTTTTTACTATGAAAACATATAGCTAGTAATTTTTTCTAATGTATTTTCATGTTTTGACCCAAGTTTGCAGTTTCACTATTTATCCATAGCTGGGACCCTAACAGGTGTTACCACCATAGGTCAGGGGTGGACCTGGGAACAACAGTAATTAGAGGGTGGTTACACGCTCTTCAAAACCTCCCGATGAGTGTTCTTGTTGCTGGATGTAGTTTATCGTCATACTAAGGAAAGAAGCGAAATGTTTTTTTTTTTGTTTTGAATTATTCTTCGGTATGTCTGCTTTATTTTTTTCCTCCATTTCTGTATAATTCATTGTTATGCATTTCCTGTTCCTTACAGAATGTGACAAGGACAAAAAATGTCCACTTTGAGTTTTATTGAATTAATATCCGGTAGGAAGGAAAAGACATCAAGCTTAATCAGTAACGATATTACGTACGCACAATTGACAATTGTGTGAGAAAAATAACTGATCAAATGTTTTCTATCAATGAAAAAGTTCAGATAAAGCATTAAAATTGTACGTTGTGATTCTATGTAAGTTTAAGCTCATTCCGATCTTTATACATATCTTTGCGCACACTGCTTGTAAGTCCTTGTTCCTCTAGTTGCAACGTTCGGTAAACCTCCCCAGTTTGCCTATTTTTAACCACGTTTAAGCAAAATGTCATATTGGATTTAAAGTGACCTTATTATTATTAAAGTAAAACAGTGATCTTAAAAACCTTTAAAGTGACCTTATTATTATTATTATTACGAAAGTAAAACAAAGAAACGAACGAACAAGAAGACAAATGCAACATGAAGCAGAGCCATAAGAAATAAAGTTTGTTCTTTCAGTGCTTTTTCCATTAATGAATAACAAGAAGGTCCCAGTTATTCTTCTGTCTTCTTTGGCTCTAGTTTCTACTTGTTCTCAGTTGACTGAATATTTGAGGTGACTTGCTCTTATTTAATCTCCAGTTATAAACAACCAGACAACGTGATTATGCAAATGCGTGAATAATAATAATAACTTTATAATACACACACAGAACAATCAAAGCTAATCGTCCAAAAGTCGTGTTCAAAGACCACAAGAACAGAATGTGCTTTCTTATTAACATGGCAGTAACTACAGATTGAATCTTTGAAGTTCTTCACAAAACTAAAGATCTTTGAAGAGGAAATCCGGGGCACCCCTGCATGCAAGCCGCCAATCTGCCACTGGGTGGCATGCCACTAGCTTTTACTGCTGGTGGCCCGCTGTCGGACCGCCGGCGTGTTCATCTCGGCAACGTTACCACTGGCGGACCGCTAGAGGCCCACTGGTGGCTCGCTAGTTGCCTGCCAGTGGTAGCCATCAGATGACCGCTGGCGTTGACATCGGCGGGCCACTAGCGGCTTGTGTGTAGAAACATGAGGGCATCAATAATTCCAGCTGTAGTTGTAGCGCTCGGATTAACTGACGAAGCTTCGAATAAACTCATGGAACGGATTTCTGATAGCCCCATGCCTTAAAGAAATACAAAAAAATCGTACTCACAAGTACAGCGCACGCATTACGAAAAGTTTGTTAGTGATCTTAGTTGTTGTCTTTTGTTGTTGTTTTTTTTTTTTTTTTTTTTAGCGGGGTGTTTTTTGTGGGGAATTGTTTTCTTTTACAAAGATGATCAGGAGAAAATACCATGAAGCCATTTTTGACTTTGGTCTCTGGTTGGGTTCCGGAAAGAAAATGTATATACAACAGAAATCAAAGGAAATAATAATATATATATTTTTTTTTTGTCATGGAAAGTGTCATGATGCCATTTCTAACCTTAGGTCCCTGGGCGGGACCCGGAAATAAATGTGTAAACGCCAAAAATCAAAGAAAATAAAGATAATAATAATAATAATGTAACACCTAATGGAGCTTTGGGTCTGATAAAGAAAAGAACTCAAGAACAGTTCAAAAAATATCTGGTGCACAATCTCAAAGAAATCGAAAAACATTCCTTACATACATCGACCAGTTCTCGCGAAGATTTTATTCATTTAAGATTTTTTTTTTTGTTATTGTTGTTAATAGCTGTCTGTTGTTTAATTAAGTGAAAACAATAAAAATCCCATACTTCGCTTACTCTATGTCACTCATTTATGACCCGGCATGTAATTATAAAACAAATGCAGGTCAAAAGGAAATTTTTAATAATATTATTGATAATAAAAATTACGAACAACTACTAAAATAATTATAATTTGTAATCGATAAACAATAACTATTTTATTATAACGAACAGAGGCTTGTGCCAGCGGACAAGATGTTTCTTAAAGAGGATTAAATAAATATATTTACCAAATTATTTATGTACGATCGTACATAAGAATATTTAATCAAGCTTTTATAGAAATTTGAACTGATCTAACATGCAACAAAATCATTTTGGAATAATAAGGAATTCATTGTCGACAAATACAAAATTCATTTAATGATTGTCAAAGAAGAGAAAACTTTGACAATTATGCAGATTCCTTGAATATTCTCAATGTTTCTGGTTGTGATACTACTACTATTATTACTAACAATCCTAATACTAACACTATTGCTGCTGATGATACTACTACTACTAATACAGTTATTGCAGCCACAGTCAACGTTTTGAGAAATTAAGAACAATGACTTTTAGATAGTTGGTTGGTTTTGTTTAGAGGCATATCAGCCTCTGTGGGTTACTTAATGCCGAAATCTAGATATATGGTACGCAATTTTCTTTTCTTTTGGAGATAATAATGGTTTTAGTGATAGCAGCTTTACTAATTAACCCATAGCTGGTGGGAGAAGAGATGGAGGGGATCATGACGAACCCAACTCAATTAACACCTCCGAGCCATTATTTATTACATCATTTTTCGCACATCCAAGTTTACAACGTCTGGTATCCTCTGTCAGTCACCCATCTAGTTACTGACCGGGCTCGACGTTGTTTAACTTTGGTGATTGTACGGGGAACCGGTGTTACAACGTAATGTGGCCATAATCCACCCCCCGCCCACCTCCAACCTTTTCGTTTGAAATCAGTAGAACGTGGCAGCTGAAGACAAAACATTTCTCTCTCATCCGTTTGCGTCTTCTGATATAATAAAAATCATGTGATTCTTGAAGTCTCTACTTGAGACTTGGAGGAAACTCATACTTCGAAAGCCAAACACAAAACACAACAACAGCCATAATAATAATAATAATAATAATCCTCTTCCTTTGTTCTTACGACTGTTATATCCTGCCAATACCTGGCGTGGAAAGAGGGGAAAAGACACTACTTGGTTTCAGTGAGAAAATGAATGAAAGAAAGCAAGCAAGAAAGGAAGATAGATGTGTTTAATATCTCTTGTCAATACCTAATAAATAACGGACTATTCCGTCTCGATAGCGTGAAAAGAGGGGAAAAGACACTACTTGGTTTCAGTGAGAAAATGAAAGAAAGACCGCAGGATAGAAATGTTTAACAGCTGTTTCAGTGAATGGAAAGAGTTGTCAATATCAAATCTTTTCATTTGTACCCACTTCTTAAAATAAGGACCAGCATTCATATTTATGATTTTTATTTTAATAATATGTTAAAATTCTTAATTAAGACTCATCAGAGATTTCAAATAGGACAACCGTGAATTTTTCTCTGGTTAAAACTAGTTTCTATCATTTTAGCATTGTCTGAACCCCAATTTCTAATTGTTGTTTATTGTCCTTCCTGTTTTATTTTTCTCTCTGTTTAGGCGGCATTCTATTAATTAAAAAAAAAGCAGTATTATTTTTGTGTGTGACGGGGACATTTGAAGATGATTTAGGAAAAGAAATAGAACAACAACAACAATAATTTAAAGTAGGTGCTGCTAAGTTCCTTATTATAAGCAAATAACAACGTCTAAAAATGACAGTCTCACGCTTGATGTAATTAGAATATCTGTCATGGTAAAATATCGTATTTCCGCCATTTTCATGTCGACCATGTAATTCCTGAGCTTTTTATTATTTTTTTTTTTACCGTCGCGGCGAAGAACAAATCAAAAGATTCATTATGGAAACTAATAATAAAACAGAAAATGTGTCAGTAATTATATTTTGATCTTTCCTTTTTTTGATTTTGTTTAACTTTTAGTAAGCATGTTATTTACATCTCTTTCTTCTTTTGTTGTCTTTCTTCCTTTTACATTTGCTCAGCTGCTGATGAATGGCAATCACTGATACAACATCTGAAATTAGGATTTAAATATGTTTCTTAGATTGGCAATCAGTACTGAAAGTGATATTCATTAGATATCGTTACATGCGATCATATCACGTGATCCACTCGACATTGATTGTTTTTTTTTTGTTTTCTGTTCGCTCTTTTCTTTTCTTTCTTTTTATCTCCTTTCTTTCTTTTTTATTTTGCGCTGCTGACATTTTTGTCTTCATTCTTCTGTTGACATTTGTCGCTTTTAATTTCTTTTCAATTTTTTAGTTTTTATTTTGTTTGTTTCTTTTTATACGTTTTTGCTTCTATTTTCCTTGTCTTTCTTTTTATGCCGATCTTTCTTTTTTCTTCTTTTTCTTCTTTTTCTTCTTTTTTCTTCTTTTTTCTTCTTTTTTCTTTTCTTCTTTTTTCTTCTTTTTTCTTTTCTTTTTCTTCTCTTTTCTTCTTTTTCTTCTCTTTTCTTCTTTTTCTTCTCTTTTCTTCTTTTTCTTCTCTTTTCTTTTTCTTTTTTTTTTTTTTCTTTTTTTTTTTTTTTTCTTCTTTTTCTTCTTTTTCTTCTCTTTTCTTCTTTTTCTTTTTTCTTCTTTTTCTTTTCTTTTCTTTTTTTTTTTCTTCTCTTTTCTTCTTTTTCTTCGCTTTTCTTCTTTTTCTTCGCTTTTCTTCTTTTTCTTCGCTTTTCTTCTTTTTCTTCGCTTTTCTTCTTTTCTTCTTTTTCTTCTCTTTTCTTCTCTTTTCTTTTTCTTTTCTTTTTTCTTTTCTTCTTTTTTCTTTTCCTTTTCTTTTTTCTTTTTTCTTTTTTCTTATTTTTCTTTTTCTTCCTCTTTTTTTCTTTTTTCTTCCTTTCTTTTTCTTCTTTTTTCTTTTTATTTTCCTTCTTTATCGCTACATATTAATTGAATTTAAGACTTATTCTATCATTACGAGGAAAATAACTGAAAGGTTAATATTTATGTTATGATCCGCTTAGAATTATCGTGAATTCTCTAACCAAATCCTTTTGGAAGGAGTAACCATTTGAAAATATATCAACGCATGCGCACAGACTAGCAGTATAACAATAACGATAACTTTTAATCGGTATCACCTCCTGCAAGGCAATAAAGCCACTAAGGTGCAAGGGGCTCACTCTGGAAGAATTAGGAACATAAAAATTAATAATGAGCGAGAAGAAAAAAGAGGGATCACGAGTACAGTAGATAGCAGTTCCATATTTTTAACCTTTAGCTGTGGTAAGAAGAGCTGAATACTTACATGGAGAAGCATAAGTAATGGTATCGTTATTGTGGCTATGTTTTCCCTAGTAAGTAACATTTTTTACGGGGGTAGAAATGCTATGTGACACCCAGTCGGTATCTAAGTTGTCCTTCTGTTTCTGCGTCTTTCTTAAATATACTTTTTTTTTTTAACACTAACACTAACCCGACCCTAACGCTAATATGGCTAATACTAATCCCTAAGTCTGAAGACAGTGTGAATAGTCGAAATATCGTTTCTCAGTGTCGTTGTGAATCAACAATACTTCAAAAATATGCTACAATGTGTTTATGTATATCAAACATGGAACTCGCAAAACCAAGTTGTGACTTTTTCTGTGAGTTTTTTTCTGTGACATTATTACCGGCTACGTAGAAGAATAACTTCTTTCAATACATTTGAAATACCTAAAACGCTTAATATTATTTAAAACAAGCACGAAAATGTACGGATATGTTTCCAACACAAAACAATGGTAAAAAAAAGAACAGCAGAGAGAGAGAGAGAGAAAGAATTCAGTAAAGACTATTTTTATTATGTGTTTATATATATATATATATATATATATATCACGTAGGTAAAAAAACTGAAGAGGGATGGGCTTTGCCAGGTTAAAACGTCTAACGCATGCCATATGATAAACACACCAAGAAATCATTTGCGGAGGCCCAGTCTCTGGCACATAACTACGACAGATGGAGGAGAATAGTGCACGTCGACCTCCAAATGACTCTTTCTAGAGTTAAGGGCGAAATAATAATAATAATGATGATGATAATGATAATAATAATAAATTAATTAATATAAATTGAATAAATATCTATGTCGTAGAATTAAGAAGAAACAATAAAGTCGCCGCTTTTTAAGGATGTAGGCGATCATGATATTCCACAAATTCCTGTCCTTTGTAATTCTAATCAATGGTTGTCCTTTAATATCCTTCCCACTCTTAATTTTATCGCCCATTTTTACAACTTCGTTAGATAGGTTACTCGCAGTTTGTCTTGTGAGCGTGCAAACTCTCCTTCTTTATCATGTCTCGGAAATTTCAATTGCCTCTGTTTGATTCTATGTGTGAATGCATTTTTTTTTTTGCTCCCGAGTTACTACTTTTCGTTGCCTGCATGTTTTGTCCACTCTATTCTCAGCATCTTAAACTTCTGCAGAATCACATCACTGTTGCCTCAAGTTTATTCTTCATCAGTGAGGAAATTGGCCAGCATTCAGCATCCATATAGGAAAATTGGTATTACATAGCAACTCAACTTCTTTTTCATTGTTTCTAACGAAATTGTCCTATTAATTAATACTTTGTTTATCTCATGCTATCCTAATACGTTTTCGGTGTCACCTTTTCCCGAAGGGTTAAATTCTGTATTGTGATTCTTACGTTTGCAGTATGCAGCTGGAATTGTTTTTTTTTTTTTTTGTTTTTTTTACTTTCCTTCTGCTAACGACAAACATTGTGTCTTCTTACACTTGATAGTCCGTTTTTCTGTTTTTGTCTTTATTACATTGTCTACGAGTTCTTGCTTCTCTCTTTTTGGGTCTGCCATGAAAACACTGCGCATGTTCTGTTTGGATTGCGTCTGCCAATAAAAAAACTCTGTTAGTACTTCCCGTTTTCATTATAATGCATCAATATTTATATAACACAACTAAGAGTAGATAACCTCAATTTTTAACAGATTTCTTTTTACATACTTCTTTTTTTTTTCTTTCTATTTTTTTGGTGGGGAGCATCTCCGTTTGTCTACAGTACTTTTGAATTTAGCATAATTGATTAAAATTCAAATTTACTTAATAACAACCACTGTTAAATAAAAAAAAATCATCACCATACCACAAAGAACCAGCCTGCTAAGACATCATGATTGTAAAATCAGTGATTACCACGTGTTGTCGATATTATTTTTCTGTGTAACAATATACCTAATTTTCGTCTTTCAATACTTTTTTTAATTAAACCAACTTGTTTATTTGTTTGACCTGCTGACAAGCGGTTGTATAAGCAGGAGATGCAACCTATTTTGTCACACTTCCTAATATATCGCCCAAAGTCATTTCCTATGCAAATGCAAATTTAACCATCTCAAGAGACCTCTATAAAATGCGTATGTTAACATGGAAATTTATTCTTCTGTCCAGATAAGCGATATTTATAAAATTACAAGCACAATATCTAGACGTCAAATTAGAAAAGCCAACTTCAAAATTAGAAGATCCTTCAGGCTGTCTTGAAGGTTAGAATCAATGTATTGATAAACTAGTCAGGTCTAAAATGCTTAGCATGGGTCCAAACATTTTGGTTTGTTTTACGCTATAGCAAAGGTTTCCATGTTATTTAACATTGAATATTGTTATTTTGATAAACAATAGATAAGTAAACATAAATTCGGTTTATACGAGAACCAAAAAAATTAAACATTGTGCGCAGGAGATTCAAAAAAAGTCATAGGTTTGATTGATTTGTCTTTTTACAGTTTATCAACATTTTCCATGTTATTTAAAGCCAGGAAAAAAATTTCTAAACTGTAAGATTTTTTGTGGTAATAATGCTTTAAATATTAGTTTTACTATTTAACCCATAGCTGAAGGATAATAAGAATAATTGCGATAAGGCTTTAAATACAAGTTTTACTATTTAACCCATAGCTGAGGGAGAATGTGATAATGCTTTAAATGCAAGTTTTACTATTTAACCCATAGCTGAAACAGAATAAGAATAATTGTGATAATATCGCTTTAAATACGTTTTACTATTTAACCCATAGCTGAGGGAGAATAAGCAGATTCATACTTTCACAAATGTATTTTCGCGTAAGAGAATATAACGAATCCAACTGGAATTGGAACTCGGTTCTCTGATTAGCGATTCCTAGTCATTAACTTTTACAGCACCTTGCATTCGCAAGCAGTCACCCGATATAGCTTTGGCTTACACGAGAATAAAAAAGGTAGACATTGGTTTGATTGATAGATTGATTCGTTTCCTACGGCTTATCAACCCGTTATTTAAAGCCAGAAAATCTTTTTCAACTGTAAGAATATTCATTGAGCTGATTACTATTTAGCGTGCAAGAAGCGAAATTTTTTTTTCTTGAGAGCTTTGGTAATTTATTTATGTATTACTGGTAATTTTTCTCTTCCTTTGCTAAATAATGTATTGATGGTAATTTTTTTTTTTTTTACAATGAAAATATATTGCTGGTATTCTTACTAGAAATATATGTTTTTATACTTTAATATTTTCACCGCATTTTGGGAGTTCATTATTTGCCCATAGCTGGGACCCTAACAGCTGCTACTACACTGAGTCATGGTGAACCTGGAAATAGCAATTAAGAGGTAGTTCCACTCTCCTCAAAACCTCTCTGTCAGAAAAATCCGAAAATCTTGCTACCCCCAACCTACGAAAAAGTAATGAGAACAATAGAAGAACAAGTAATACAGTAATACAAATCACACGTACTGGATTCAGTTTATTCACTTTCATTGCCGCTGTCACACATTGATAAGGTCTGTATCAACACCATCATTTTCGTGGCACAAAATGATTCGGCGCCATGTCCTGTGTGCAGCCTCCAACTGATGGATATTCTGACATAGTTGCATGTGAAAACTCTCTCGTTAATTATACACCACAGAGCGTTGAACAGTTATATTTACGTATGGGGTGAAAAGACTTTAGGTCTACGCTGTAGTTTATCGTCATCCGCACGATACAAGACGGAATTAATCGCGCCACACCCAACAGGTCTTGAATAAAAAGCTATCTTTCTCCTGGACTGGTAGCCAACCGGAGGCACATAGCTCCATTTTTCCTGCTCTTAATCCCCTAGCTGAGGGAAGGTTCAGAAATTTTCAAGAGCAGTTATGTGAATGGGAACTCAGTGGTTTCGAGTTGAATTTGAACTTAACACGTCAATCCCACCCTTTACACTGACAACCTCTACACTGCCAGCATTAACATATTATCAGTTTTTGTAATAAATTTTCTTACGTAACTTTCTTTTTATTTATTGTCTGCCTTATTTTTTTAATCTTTCTTAAAATTCTTGCCTTCTTATTTAAGACCTCTACTGTTTCTTTTGTCTTCTTTCCTTCTCTCCTCACTTTTTTCCTCCCTCCAACTTTTCTTCTTTTGATCGACACGATAAACAGGACTATAGCTTAAATGTAACAGCTAATCGATGGCTACAACAGCGAATAAGACTTAAGCTCCCTTGCCTATAGGCACTGAGAAATCAATGAGTCGCAAGTCTAGTCAGAGTAAAGTTGGTCTAACACAATTCTACGCTCAGACACTTGGATGAACAGTAATGTTCTTATCGTAAGTGAAATTCCCAATTGAACAAAGATAAATTGTTTATTACGGTTCAGTTTTAACTTGTCTTCCTTTACCCAAAGATAAACATCTGCTTTTTAACAGTATTTTCTCTCCTTCTCTCACCCTCTTTCTCTTTATTATATATATATATATATATATATATATATAAAATGTAGAGTGAGAGAAAGAGAGTTTGCGTGTATAAGCACAAATAAATCAATAAGTTCGTAACCTAATGTTGAAATAGGTTTTATTTCATATAACATAATTTCCAATAATTTATTTTTCAATACAGTAAACACAAAAGTATTCAATTAATTAAATCGTTAGAACATTAGAAAATAAAATATTTAATCAAATCCAGATTACTCTGTCAGGCTACAAATTTATTGATCCATATTCTTATACATACACACACACACACACACACACACATAATATATAAAGTGTGTATATTAAAAAGAAAAGAGAAACCACAAAAGTTTTTGGTGGTAATATAGATTTGTTTTAAAAAATATTATGCTTCATTTTCCATAATTTTGCTACACGTGTTTCCGGTCTCGCGACCTTCATCAGGCAAAGAGTGGAGATTTTCACATATTATTAAAAATAATTATTTTTTCTTATGTTTTTCGATGTTAAATATTCTCGATATGAGACACTCTTTTTTGTGTGTTAGTGACCCAAATGTCTTTCTTGAACTGGAAGTGAAAAGTTATGCATGAAGGGTTATTTGGATCACTAACACACAAATCATTATTATCCTGCATTAAAATACTCTTCAGCTTAAAGCATTATAGTTATGATTTGTATCAGAGAAAAAATATCTTTCTAAGAACTAAAAACGTTTTATGCATTTACACTGTTTTAGCTATTATGCAGGACTCCTGTTGTTTTTCCAAGGCATTTTGATTGACTCTTTCGCAGAAAGACCTAAAATTTAACCCAGCCATTAGGTGTATCCAATTTAGCTTAATATTTGTGAAAAAGAATTAATTCCAGGAAATCAGTTTTCATGTACTTCTTCGTCGACTTACATATTTCTCTCTGTAGTTTTTCCATGAATATTGTAATTAGTTACTTTTATTCTATATCTTTTTTTTTTATTTTTCGTAACAACAGCTTCGTAATCCATTTTCTAATGAATAACCTTGAAATCTTTCATTTGCCTTTCGCACTTATATGATTTTTGGTACTCATAATAATATTTAACTAAAATTAAAAGATATAAATAATAATTTATTATTGTCTGTCTATATTTCCGAGATGAGGTATTATGTACATTATTTACATTATTCGGACTATTGTCCTCATTTTTGTCGCCATATTTATCACAACGTTTCGGCCGTTGTACGCTCAGGCCTTCTTCAGGTGGTTGGAATGTCGAACTGAACCCTTTATTTCGCTCACTATCTTCACATCTATCTATCTATCTATATCCTATAAATGTTTTCAACGTCGGTGAATCACGATTTACATATTCATAGGAACCTAATGACCTTTTTGATACTTTTAAGATAATTACAATATCAATATTTTATTATAGAATAAAATTTATTACTACATACAAGCTTACAGTCTCTGGTATTCAGAAGCGGTCACCCATCTAGTTACTGATCAGGTTTGACGCTGCTTAACTTCGGTGATTATACGGGAACGGGAGTTTCAAAGTGATATTCTCGTAAGTCATAAGCAAGCTCTTATTCTATCTATCTATCTTCACATTATCTATCTATACATTATCTATCTATCTATATCTATCTTCACATCTATCTATATATCTATCTTCCTTCAAATCTATCTATCTATCTTCCTTCAAATCTATCTATCTATCTTCCTTCAAATCTATCTATCTATCTTCCTTCACATCTATCTATCTATCTTCCTTCACATCTATCTATCTATCTTCACATCTATCTATCTATCTTCACATCTATCTATCTATCTTCACATCTATCTATCTATCTTCACATCTATCTATCTATCTTCACATCTATCTATCTATCTTCACATCTATCTATCTTCACATCTATCTATCTATCTAACATCTATCTATCTATCTTCATCTATCTATCTATCTGTCATATCTATCTATATATCTTCTATCTATCTATCTATCTTCACATCTATCTATCTCATCTATTATCTTCACATCTATCTATTTATCTATCTATCTATCTATCTATCATCTTATCTATCTATCTATCTATCTATCTATCTATCTATCTTCACATCTATCTATCTATCTATCTTCACATCTATCTATCTATCTATCTATCTTCACATCTATCTATCTATCTATCTATCTTCACATCTATCTATCTATCTATCTTCACATCTATCTATCTATCTATCTTCACATCTATCTATCTATCTATCTTCACATCTATCTATCTATCTATCTTCACATCTATCTATCTATCTATCTTCACATCTATCTATCTATCTATCTTCACATCTATCTATCTATCTATCTTTATCTATCTATCTATCTATCTTTTCTATCTATCTATCTTCATCATCTATCTATATCTATCTATATATCTATCTATCTATCTATCTATCTATCTATATCTATCTATCTTTTCTATCTATCTATCTATCTATCTTCTTATCTATCTATCTATCTATATATCTATCTAAAATATCTATCTATCTATCTATCTATCTTTCATATTTATCTATCTAAATTAAATATATAAAATAAATATATTTTCAACGTATGAATCATATTTACATATAAATATTTTTTAATGACCTTTTGATACTTTTTAAGATAATTACAATATCAATATTTTATTATAGAATAAAATTTATTACTACATCTCTTTCCAAATAAATCAAGAAAGTAAGACGTCGAATATGATAGACCTTAGAAGGAAAACTCAAGGATGAATTGGCTTGAAGATTTTACTATTTTTCCTGTTTTGCGACTGAAATGGTTGGATACTGATTGGACGTTGGCCAAAGATACGCTTAAACCTCTCTGCCAAAACCTTTAAGAGTCTATCGACTGGAATCATTAAAGGGAACAGTATCTCAAAAAGAAAAAAAAAGATTTGCATAAATATGGATAATATATATTGATATGCCGTTATATTTTTTTTATTTAATATGAATATCTTTTTAAAATATGACCAATTTTTTATATTTGTGTCTTTGAAAAATTTTTATAATAAAATGGCATAGAAGGAAAACACGTTCTACTTGTTTTGTGAACGGCGTCGCTGTAGTTGTTTTCCTGGAGCGTGTTCTTTGTGTGAACACTTCATTGTGTTCTTTTCTTCAAAGATTCACAGTACAAACAAGCATGCGTATGTAGAATGAATCGCTCAATTTACCTATATCCGTCTGGCGTCAATTTAAACTGACATACTCTTTTTCCATATATTGCAATCATTTTGTTTGTTTTTCTCTCTCTTTATTTCAAATGAAAGATAGTAGAGCGCCAGTTTAATTGCTAGGGTGTATTGATTAATGTCTTAAAAATACTTAGGAAACAAACCGTGTCTATCGATTTTCTGCTAATGCCAAAACTGGAGCTAATTTATCTATATTTCTGAGATGAGGTATTATGTACACTATTTACATTATTCGGACTATTGTCCTCATCTTTGTCGCCTTATTTATTACAACGTTTCGGTGTGGTTGGAATGTCGAACTGAATCCTTTATTTCGCTCACTGTTTTAGTTCCATTAGCCATGTCTAATGGATGTCAGTTATCTCATATAATTTCACTATAAAGCTTTCTCTAACAATTTTTTAACCAGAATTATTGAACTCTACACAGTTTGGGTCCTGTCACTGGATTTAACATGGATATTTATGAGTTAATTAACCAAATTTTATATGACATATCAGAAACTGTTTATATTAATGTAACTAAAATGCATTAATTTCCAATTTAACACTTACCATTATTAGAATTATAAAACTAGTAATTTCTAGAATTCAATTTAAAATTTGAAAGAGATAATCATTTAGCAAAATGGTTCCCTAAATTTTCAGTTATTAATTCAATTAAAATTACTATTATTAATTAATTAATCAATTCGCACATTTAGTGATCACACTAAACAAAAACCGTTAGTCTTTTTATCTTGAAATGGCTTAATTCCAAGTTTCAGAAGTTTCATCAATATTCATATATAAAATCTAATTATTTTATATTTTGAATTTCTTTTTTGTTTAAAATAAAAGATTCTATTATCCTACTAATTTTTAGTTCCTCTAGCCTCTTCCTAGTTTTCTGAGAAATCCTAGAACGGAAGTTACATTAATTTCCAATAATTCGAGATACATCGCATATATTTTCACCGTTTTTCTGATCTAATCCGTAGTCAACCGTAACAGCGGACATAACCTACTGGCCTATTTTTTTTTAATAATACCAAGTAATAATATTAATATCTGACTTATATTCTTTTAATTTTACCAATTAATAATATCACTATCTTGCATATTTTCATATAATGGAGCCTAAGTAAACTGAAGACTTTTTAGTACTCCAGCATTCTTCGCGGTCGCATTATCCCTAATTTTTTCAATAATGCTTCCCTTCTGCTAATATCTTGTTCTTCAAACCATTTTTCGACGTACTTCGAGAACTTTATGAGACCCTTTCCATGGTCAGAATCCGTTATTTGCAATTTTTTCTTCTGATTATCATATCCAGGTTTCAGGTTTTAAAAATTTTATTTTGAAAAACTTAATTTCCTTGTAGAATCCAGGTTCATCCTCTAGGCTATATATAGTTTGTACATAGGCGACTAATATGTTTAAGAAAAGATAAACGCTTGCACGGTTCTCAGTGGATTACCCTTCCCAGCATGACAGGCTTGGTTTTGAATTAATTCTAGGCTAATTTGCTGCAGTTATTGTTTAGTATATTAATTACACCATCTTTATTTCCGCATAATCGACATTTAATATATTCATTGATTTTATCTATTTTGGTCTTTATATTGTTGCTGCTGTTCTATTGGATTAAAGTTTTAAAGATTGTTGTGAGGTCTGTCGGGAGATTTACGGTGATGTGGTTCTTGTTATTTAGTAAAACTCTTTCAATGATAGTCTATAGATTCTGAAGGGGAATTGCCTTTTTTAAGACATAGAGGAATATTCGGACCTTATTTCTAAATGTTAATCATTGATCCGAGGAAATTAAAATATTTAGATGATAATTATCTTTTTTCGAAAAAAGTTGGTTTTTTATACTTTGATTACTATATACGAAAGTCTAGATATAACGAGGTCGTTTAAAAATTTTTTAGAGTTTTCAGTTTAATATTTCTTTTTTGTAGCATCTAATGTTTTGAACAAAAACACAATCATTTTAAAGGGAAAAGTTCATTTGAAACCCTAATTAGTTTAGTTTTTTTTTTCATTATGTTGAATATTTAGTTACAAAACATTTCAGTTAACTTTTTACTATTTAATTACAAAACATCACAGGACACCATTGACTATTTAATGTAAAACGTCACAGGACACTGTTGACTATTTAAATGTAAAACGTCGCAGGACACTGTTGACTAAATGCAAAAAATCGCAGGACACTGTTGACTAAATGCAAAAAATCACAGGACACCATTGACTATTTAAATGCAAAACGTCACAGGATACTGTTGACTTTTTAACTGAAAATCATCACAGGATATTACAGAACATCACAGAACACTGTTAACTGTAAAACTTCACAGGACAGTGTTTTAATTTTTGACATTACATACATATAGTGTCTTGTAAATATCATAATTTCAAAACTGCATGCGCGTTAGGAGCAATAAAAGTTGCTGTTAAAACTAATAATTCGTTATTAGATTATTCGAAACTGTGTATCCAATATATTCTGGAATGAACAAGGCAAAAGGAAATAAATGAAAGAAAATCGTCCCAAATAAATAGCCTAATTACTTTGAAATTACACAGTAATTTTCCATTGAACCGAAGGATAAAATGCAAGAATATTGATGTACTTTCGATAATTATATAATCGGATTTAAACTCATTTTATGCATTCAATGTTTCCTTTTGATTAGAGCTTGCTGGTATTTCATGCTTCCATCGACTGATTCCAGCATATGTTTGAACTCACTTGTCAAATCGGCTGTTCTTTTCGCTATTTGAATACATACTTGTAAGGTTATTGGACATTGCCCGGAAGTGATTTCTATAACCATTATTACTTATTGTATTACTGCTAGGAATGTTATGTCAGACAATTAAAAAACAAATTAATGATTGCATTTATAAATAATACCATTTTTCCGGCCATTGAATATTGTTGTCATATCTGCTCCGTTATTCTTATAAAATGACGATATTTTGGAAAAAAAAAAAAAGAAGGATCTAAAATATTTAATCGATCCTGATTTGGAAATTTGAAAGTCATTTTCAGAAAAGTGAAATGGCTTCCATCTGTCTTTCTACAAGTATTTTCCTGGTACTGGTCCTGGAAAAAAATTTTGTGTGCAAATGAATAAAACGATTTTAAATAATTGGCAAAAGGGTAGCCCGTCTTTCTTTTGAATACCTAGATGAAACGTAAAAATTTAATGAAAATTCTCGCACTTTCATTTCCCCTAAATTTCCGAGTTCTTGCTTCCATGCCAATATTCAAACCCTTAAATTAAACGTCACTCGCCATCTGTCTTTATGAATCCTATTATTTTATTGTATTTATTTTTTTTTTTCTCATAAATATTTCTTTTTTTTATGTTTTTTTTTTAAAGTACATTTCACCCAAGTGAATTTTTTTTTGAAGCCACTAGCACGCAAGGGGTTACAGAGAGTTGGAGCGAGAGCAAATAGGAGTGATAGAGGAAAGGATGAAGAGAAGGATAGGGGATAGATCAAGGCATCTGGAGACGTCGATTGACATTACATTTGAATAGTTGGAGATTATAGCCATCAGGAAAACAAGAAATGGGAGGGAGTTCCACAGGCGAGAAGTGCTAGTCATGAAGCTATTGGAGTAGAAGAGACGGCTACATTTAACACTTTCGACAATGAAATGGTGAGAGCGAGATACCAGCCTAGTTGAACGCTTAAATTCATGAAGTCTGGGAACCAGCGAAAGCAGCTCATCGGAGCAGTTACCGTGAAAGTATTTGTAAAAAAAGACAGAGGGAGGCGACGGCACGTCTGTGAGAGAGTGACTGCAGATGAGATGCCAGATCAGGGCCAATTACATTGCATATCTGTCTTTGGATTTTATCAAGGACCTTAAGACAAACAGAAGGGGCTCCAAACCATATATGGCGGCAATACTCCATGCAAGGGCGAATGGTTGGTTTGTAGATTTGAAGGATTGGCTCCGGCGAGAAAAATATCCTTGTGCGACACAGGGAGTCAACTTTCCTTCCGGTAGACGAAGCTATTGACTCAACGTATTCGTTTCATCTCAGGTCAGCGGACAATGAGTGATTAAAAACATGTACGGTTTAAAACTCTTAAGCAATTCTCGTAAACAGGAAGTTTCATATAGTCTAATTAATGCAGTGAAAATGACAGAATCTGACTTTTTGGTGTGAAGGTCGTCAGTGATAAACATTCAGAACTCCAATCCTCATGGTTAAATGATTTCTTTTTAGATCATAAAATGTTTGGACATTCTGTTCCTTAACAAAAAACACATAAGGCTTTGCTTCTGTAATTATTAAACCAAGCCACAAGGATATTTTTCA